ACACACACCTGGACAGCCCGGCGGCGGGGTCGGGGCCGGCGGCGGCGCCGCCGCCGCCCGCGCCGCTCTCGGTACCGCTGTACCGCCCGGAGCTGCGGGGCAGCTTTTTGACGGGCGACTGGCTGGGGGACCTGCAGAGGCGGGGGTGGAGAGGAAGGATAGGATTGACGTTACACAACTTACAAGGATACTGCCTGGCTCTGTACATCAGTCGAGTCATCCATAGATCAGTCGGGGAGCTGATCTGAGGTTGCTTCATTCGGGAATGCTGGCACCAGGGTAGCACACGGCCCAGCAGGGCTGGGGAGCCTGGCCGGGGAGGCCGGCCACGCAGCACAAGGATGTGTGCAAGCGGCACACACAGGCGGCACAAGCGCACCTGGCCAGCATTGTCGGCGAGGCCCGCGGCGTCCCGCCCTGTCCCTCACCCTCTCCCGGACCCATCTCTCCCTGGCCGCCTCCCTCCGCGCCCGCCTGGCTCGCCTGGCCTGCAGCCGCGGCAGCCGCCGCGGCCGCCGCAGCCGCCGCGGCGCCGCGCTGCCGCAGCGCGGCGGCGGCGGCGGCGGCGCGGGCGGCGGCCAGCGCGGCGGCGAGGCGTGCGGCGCCCTGGGCGCCCGTCAGGCGCCGCACCCGCTCCCCAATCAGCTGCAGGTCGTGATCCACGGCGGCCACGAGGGCCTGGGAGGCAGGGGGGAGGGAGGCAGGGAGGGAGGCAGGCAGGCAGGGAGGAGGAGGGGTGAGGGAGTGTAAGGTGGGGTGAGGCGAGGGCGAGGGTGCTGGTGTGGAGGGTGTGCGGACAGCGCGGGTGTAGGCACGCACACGCACACACACACACACTCTCTGGGGCACACACCTCGATGTCTTCTGCCGAGCGCGGGCGGCGGCCAGCGCGGCGGCGAGGCGTGCGGCGCCCTGGGCGCCCGTCAGGCGCCGCACCCGCTCCCCAATCAGCTGCAGGTCGTGATCCACGGCGGCCACGAGGGCCTGGGAGGCAGGGGGGAGGGAGGCAGGGAGGGAGGCAGGCAGGCAGGGAGGAGGAGGGGTGAGGGAGTGTAAGGTGGGGTGAGGCGAGGGCGAGGGTGCTGGTGTGGAGGGTGTGCGGACAGCGCGGGTGTAGGCACGCACACGCACACACACACACACTCTCTGGGGCACA